AATAAAATTCCCTACATGGACATATGCATATAAAGTACAAATCATAGGCACGCCCCACCTGCAGCAACGTGGGAAGTTGCCGAAGTGTTACCTGTTACTGCACGCCTAATGGCACATCGACTACACCCCTACTGAAAATTGAATACTCTTTTTCATGGTTCTGACCTTAATTTTCAATGTACGTGTTTCATTTTGATATCAATGTGTTCTCAATATAATGTTCTAGAGTAACATATATATAAAATGTCACCAAAATCGGCATGAGACCTGCACCAAGTAAAAACTGTCGATTGTTAGCCGAGCGCGCCAAACAACGCGAACATGTTGCTACTCTTTTCAGGTTTGTCAAGTCCAAACTTGTTCTACATCATTCATTTTGGTATCACTGTGATCACAATAATATTCCCAACAAAGACATATGCATATAAAGTACAAAACATGGACGCGCTCCACCCACAGCAACGCCTAAAGTCGCTGAAACGTTACCCGCTGGAGTACACCCATTGCCACACCCGGAACACCCAAAACACTGCCGGCATCAGAAGTACTTGCATCATCATTTATATCCGGAGCATGTGCCATGGTGTTATTTTTGAGAGGCCACTCATCAGTTTCCCCACTTCAACAGGGACCAGGAAAACTGGTCCCTGAAACTGGAAAAACTGAAACTGGAGCAAGGTCATTTTCTTGGGATCACTGCTGTAGTTCTTTTACAATACAAATGCATTATGGAGAGCCATTTGCAGAAAATAAAAGGTTATTTTTTTGGTCCACTAGTGACATTTTCGTGTGAAATGGTAATATTTTACCATTTGGTCAAAGTGATCAACACCTTTCATGAAGCAATTGTAGTCACATATTGCATTTGGTTTGTTTACAGTTACTTGTTGCACTGAAGATGTTCCGTCACGTTTCCGAACTCTTTTCCTTCGTTCGACTTCCTGTGTGTAAGCATTGTGACAGTTTGTGAGGAACGAGACCACTCGCTTGTCTTTCCACAGGATTATAAATGTATTATCCTTGTGGCAGAATAGGGTTGTATCCAAGGTGATTTTACTCTTTGCTTTCAGTTGCAGATCCTTGGGTGCGCCACGCTACAATCTGATGGTTCCACATGTGTAAACCTCATGTTCACGAAGCTTTTCTGTAAGGTTGACCAAGTTATAGTAGTTATCCATATACAGATGATATAACTTGTACATTAGGGGCTCAATGAACCCCAAAACCATCTCTATTGTTGTCTTACCAATTCTGGCATACACTTCAGTCATGTATGTAGCCAGATGTTGACTCAGCAAGCATGTACAGTTTTACTCCATACTTATCCGGCTTATTTGGATTATAAACCTTGAAAGATAATCGGCCACGTCATGACATTGTGCCTTCATCCAAACTCAATTCTTTCGTAGAAATGTAGATTTATGCAAATTTGCTTGCAAGATATTTCATCACTGTTCAAACTTCGCTCCTTTCAGCGTGGAACTGCTCCGCCCTTGACCATGATCCATCGTATAGTGGATATAATGTGTTGAAAAGACATGGAAACAAATATAACTGCCAATAATAGCCACCAAGTGCACAAGTTTGGAATGCGAGAGGATGGCCTAGAGGTCACGAGCGCGGCAATGTAAAAAAAATAGGCCTACCACATGGCCGGACGACCCATGATGCCAGGTGGCATATGAAAGAAAACTGGAAGACAATGGCGCTCATTTTGAAACAACCCCGAAGATGATCAGATAAAAATTGAATTTTTTAAAAATATTTTAATGCACGACTCAAGCAAGAGTCACTCGCTTGGAATCGGGAGAAAAATGAGTGACTCCAGGGGGATGCATCGCAGTGTGAAAGTGCTAAGTGATATGGACTTGGGACAGAGTGGTCATCCGGAAAGAAGGGGGGCAGGGAATGGACCGGTTCAACTGCAAAAGGTCAAGGATAAACCAGAGGTCCGTCACATCCAGAATCAGGACCAGAAAAAGGCAAAAAACCCACCGAATACCATGCCAGAGACCACCAATTCTGAGATGACTTGTACCATGGGAGGAAAGGAGGCCTGCCTAGAAAAACCCAAACTCCCAGAAGGGAAAGGAGCCAACCAACTCTACAGCAGGCTGTGGGGGAAAGCCGGAAAGGCTCGGTTGGCCAGGTAGTGCTGCCCTAGGTATATCTTGAGGTTATCTTGAGATGATTTCGGGGCTTTAGTGTCCCCGCGGCCCGGTCCTCGACCTGGCCTCCACCCCCAGGAAGCAGCCTGTGACAGCTGACTAACACCTAGGTACCTAATTTACTGCTAGGTAACAGGGGCATAGGGTGAAAGAAACTCTGCCCATTGTTTCTCGTCGGCGCCTGGGATCGAACCCAGGACCACAGGATCACAAGTCCAATGTGCTGTCCGCTCGGCCGACTGGCTCCCAAAGTACTAGTAGGTACTAGCCGAGTATCTCTCATCCACACCCACACATCCTTCACAAGTCCACTGACCATGGTTTGATTTGTTTGTGGTGTGGCACTCAAGCATTCACTCGCATGATATTCCTACACCTATACAAATTTAGGAACATCTTGACACTGTGTCAGCTACTAATGTAGGTAATATATTAGTAATGGCTTAAATAAGAAATAAACCCAAGAGAAAGCATTCTGTAATTACTCTGGGAAGTAGAGCTTAAAGCAGGTAAAGAGGGATCCCAAAAGGAGTTGTGTGCAGTGAAAACCAATAAAAAAAAACTTTCAGACCATTAAGCCTAACACTATCTTGATTTTCTTCTTTAAGGGGAAACTGATAAAAACATAATATAAACACAATTAATATAGCTAAGGTATAGTGTAGATAATGGTCTGAGAGTGATACAGGCACAAGTGAGGAGATGAAAAGTCAACGGACAGAGTTGTTTTTGAGAAAAGCATCAATCCCTACATCAAAACTCCATACCAACCTCTACCACCCATACCATCTAAACAATTATGAATTAACTACAGGTACCAGTATTTACTTTTTTTGAGCACAGTTTGTATTTTTTTTTGGCAAGGCTCCGTTCAGTATTGCTCAGAAAGCAAATGGTTGTCTGTACTCTACACGATTTAAACATTAAATTTGATTTAATAATGATATTTAGTGGGACTCTTCAAATGGTGTGTACACTTGAATTGAATTATAAACATTGATATAACAGTAGAAAACTTCAAAATTCTAGTCAAGGGAGGTCTAAGATGTAAGTGGAGATTTATTTGTAATGTGCGGGTAAATTTTTTTTTTTTTTTTATCAAAATACTGCATGTGCAAAACATGTTCAACCAAATAAATTTAATAATTCCAGTCATAATTGTAATTCGTGCCAATCTTTCACTGCAATGGGTTCAATCAAACGAGGCCAAGCCCAAATTGACCACTCCAGTCGAGTTGTACTGTAGCTTGAATCTGTTGACTACAGAAAAATCTACAAGTTGGAAACAAATAGAGAGAGCTGGTTTCTGGTAAGGGGGTTTATCCATTTTCTGTTGAAAAGTCAACCCAGCATAATTTAGAAGATTGTTAAACCCTAACATAAGACTATTGATAACCAGTACTATATACTGAAGGAATTTTATAAATAATTTTTTTTTTATTTACTGCAAGGATACAGATGTAATTAATTCATGAATGATTGCCAACACACCACTAAACAAAAAGGTGCAACACCCATGCTCCCATGCTTGCTACCCCATGCATTCCAATTCTCTGGTGGTCAACATTTTAAACTAACCTCTCATTACCAAGTGCACAACTTCAAATACACATAAAAGTCATTTGATTGATCCGCTCTCTCAGTATTATTCAACTTGTATATGTTCCACGAGCAATATATATAATACCTGGATTAGTCTTATACCCTGGGACATCACTAGGCATAGTAGTTGATTGTACTATTTAACATCAATACAAATATAAATTTTAAATGCAAACTGTATCAAGAAATTTTACCTCCAGCAACAAAGTAAAAAAAGCTAATAAAAACAATACATGTCTTGCTGAATTCCATATGAACATAAAATACGGACAAAATACAGTCATTAGAGAGGCATACTCATTTATATATACGGTATACAAATGTAAGTGATCTAGGAGCAACAGTAAGAAAGCTTTATTGCTTAGGGTAACATTTATTGGAATCAATTTAATTTAAAAATCTTCCCACTTTGCTTTGTCCATAAACTTGCCAAGTGTTACAAGGTGTAACATAATGACGTAGGCAAAAATCATATTCCTTGTCAACTGTAAACACACAGCAATAACGTGAGAGCTATGTTAACTGATGAATATGGCCCCCTCTTATTGACATCCAATATGTTCTTCACTCATGAAAATGCATTTAATATTCAATGTCTCATCTTGTCAATTTTCATTAAGCCGTATCATTTTGTTGCTAAATTATTGTGTTAATACTTTCAGAAGTAATCTCAAGCCATGTACAACTTTTATGGATCAACCTTTTCTATATATCTCTCAAAGCAGTTACATTTATAGTGGTGTGTTCCTAACCAATTGTCTTAAAACTATAGTATAATGGTCATGCTCCAGATAAGTGTATGCATTAATACCTTGTCTGAGCATGTCATGTCATGTCAATGCACAAAACAAAATATTTAATTACATGTAAAAAAATAAAAAGATGTCCTGCAAAATCCATTTACTTTGACTACATTGTTTAATGTTTATGATATAAACTCAGACAAGGTAACGGTAGTGATGGAATGCTTCATGTGGAATAGGATAATTCAGAGCAAAACAAGGATATTATTTTGGAAATGCATGTAACATCCTCGAGATATCATTCTTTTTGTAGAACAGCATGAAACTATTAAAATAAATCATAAGCAGCCAAAAAGAAAGAAAAACCTTGCAATTCCAGAACAAATTCCAATTACACAATCTAGAAAAAAAAAAACACCTACTACCAGAAACAGCCAGACAGACAAACCAACAGCCACACAAGTTGTGCAGAGCAGCATCTACTTACCCAGGCCCGGGGTAATAATATGGAGGCGGTCTCTCGTACTCTGGGGAGAGGCTGGGCTGACTGGTGTAACGTGGGGGCCCGCCGCTTGGAGGGTAGTCTGCCCAGCTGTGTGCACACACGGATAGGCAAACTGACACACCCATACCTACACTCAACTACTACTACTACTGTTACAGTTACACCTTGTTAATATATACTCCTTCACTTAACATGCTTTATATAAATTACTTGGGCCAAAATCCTTTGGAGAACTTTATATTCAAAGATCTATACTAAACCACTAATTCAGGACATATAAATTCCTAATCTAAGAACATACAAGTCATAAGTTACTGCAGATAGAGTACAGTTTATCATCCTTATGTTCCACATTAAAGTATTTTGGCCAACTTGCCTACCCCAGAATAGTTATATACTTCTCATATACAGTAAATACAGGTATTAATTATGTCAGTAATCTTAATGAAATTAAGAGTAACAAGGTGCAACTGTAATTGTTAACTTTGAACCCACTGTGTTCCCAAGTCAAACACAGTCATCAATTTCAGTGTTTTCTTAGATATATATTGTGGTAAGTGAACTATTTGTCATCAGAATCATCATCATCCAACATCAACTTGCTTGTCAAAATAAAAATGAAAATAGCTTAATCCATATTCAAGAGACATACTCAAGCCATGTAACACTTCTAAAGAAATACTACTCACTAATGCAATTAAAACATTTTATGGTTTCATGCTCATGCTTTATTTGCATTTGCTGAGTATGTGGATGTACCTTTGGTAAAGATCCTAGATAAATATTCTGTTAAATAACTGCATCACTTGGTTTAATACATCTACTGAATATGGCTCTTGGGTGCAGCTTTTTGCTTACCAATCATCCCGAGTGTCAATATAGATAAGCTTTAAGGTGCTGCGTCACTTTACAGTGTTGCCCAGAACTCCTCCTCTCTTACCTACATTGTACGTCAAGCAACATTTACATCCATACACTGAATAACTAAGGCTTGATATTTGTAATGTCCTGTTATATTCAAATGCTTAATAACCAGAATGTAGCCTTAAGAAGAAAATTGTAGCCAAAGTGCAAAGCCTGAGCCTTAGTTGAAGAAAATAAAGAGAAAATGCCTCAAAGGGACTAAATGAAAAAAAAGGCAATTCTCACCTTAGGCTAAAAACCAAAGGCATATCTTAGAAAATGCATAGCAAACAGGTGTAGCAAATTCACATCCTACATCAGAATTAGTGATTTTCAGCCACTTACAGCACTTCCATACAATATATTTGCCTTTTTCTGGCAGGAAAATTAACTATATGGAAGCACAAATAAATGGTGAAGGTCACTAATAGTATTGCATTTCAAACTGTGGGTGCAAGAAAACTTACTCTGTAGTATTAATGTATTCTGTGTGTGGAGGTGACGCTCGGGAACCAGTAAACGGCTGGTCTGCGGTATAGCTGCTGCTCACATACCCCTCGTGGTCACGTGAACGCCGTCGCTGCTTCTTGTCATATGCACTGCTTGGGAATACAGGTACAAGTTGGTACTTTGATTTACTTAAATTTCTTATAGTCAGAACCATTTCTCAACATGTGAAATAGAATTTTAAAATCAATTTCAAAATAATTTTAAAGACACTTAACACTCAACAAATACTGTAAAACTAAAAGAAAATAATTAATAAATAAAATTATATTATATATATATATATATATATATATATATATATATATATATATATATATATATATATATATATATACAAAATATATATATATATATATATATATATTTATTATAATGTTTGTGTGTAAATCGTGAAAATTAACATGTGATGAAAATGTGACAATTTTCACCGACACTGTCATGTGGTCTGACACTGTCATATATAATTTAATCAAAATATTGTATTGCATCTTTACGTAAAAAAAAAAAAAAAAAAAAAAAAAAAAAAAAAAAAAAAAAAAAAAAAAAAAAAAAAAAAAAAAAAAAAAAAAAAAAAAAAAGGTCATGCAGAAAACAAAAACAAAGCCCAATACTGTACTCAAGCAGGAAAGGAGAAAATATCAAGCATTGCATATGTCACATTTAATACAAGCAAGAGGTGCACAACCTTATTGCAACCCTGCAACAGGGACTGCAGGTGAACGCCAACAACTAGCACAGTACACACAACAATATGGAAAGTGATTAATCACCTGACCAATATGTGACGTCTTTCCACCGTTTTACTTTTTGATAATTAAAGAGAAGAAAATTAATTACTGTATAAACAAGTCAAGCACATCAAACTAGTACATTACAAGGAACATCACAAAAATCTACAGTAATACACTAATTACTATCAAATATATCAAGTAAAAAGGCATCTAGTTTAATATGCACAAAATTAAATAATGTTAACTGGGCATTTCCAAGAATTCTGGGCATATTTATAACCAAACTGAATAAACCGCGCTACACGCTTCAGAAATATACAATCATGATTGTTTCCAAGTCTATCATTCGAACATCCTTCAAAATAACATTTAACCAAGAACACAATAATGCGGCATATGGAAAGAAATTATATGGTTGTTATAAACTTTTGTCTTACATAATTCAGTACAGAACTTGCAAAATATTGTCATCATAAAAGGCATATGTAGGGGGAAAAGGGACATTCAGCTCAGCAGCATTAAATTTGGCAGTGTTAGAATTTAGTAGAATGAGAAGAAATGATTAGTTACAAGGACTGTTAGCACAAAGGCATCAGTGGCAACATGCATCACACACACACGCACGCACCACATTACTTACGTAGTGAGGGGAATGTTGTCCCTCTCAGCATACGCGTCATACATGGACTCTTGGCTGGCGAGAGAGTTTTTCCCTATTAACAAGAGCAATCACCACATGCCACAAACTACAAAAAAAGGTCATTGACAGCCATAACCAATTTACAGTAGAAAAAGCCACTGCAAAACACGTTGAGCCCCATCACCGCTTCCTCCACCAGCAACAGCTAATAAGAGTAAGTAGTTTATTGCCTCATTAACACAATATCAACAGAGCTGCCTCTAGACATGTTATTTTCTCTAGCCATTTTGTAAGTAAATTTATAAACAGCTGTTAGTAAATACACAGCAAATATTAACTATTTTTGAGCTGCACTTTAGTATTTTTATTGAAGCCAGAAAAATTACAATTAGTATTAACAACTCAGGTTAAGTATGATGAGGAATTTTCACTGGAAGACACTGCAATGTTACACTTGCCATGAATGTAGTTTGTTTACAAAGGCGCGTCTCCAAAAATTTAATTTTTTTTTTTTAAACATTAACTAGTCAGCCATTTGTGCAAAAACCAAATTGAGTGAATTGATTCTACTGTATGATGCTTATATGAAAGAGCTTTTAGGAATCTAACATTACTAAACTACATAAAGATTTAAATTTCTCAGATACCCTAAAAAATACACGAAGAGAGAATATGCAGTGTTGAGACTGTGTACTACGAGGTTACCTACACTTGATAAAAACATTTATACATCCACCAAACAACATATATTAATTCCTAACTGTATACTAACATACTCACTTGGACATAGGAAAGCTGTTCCTCTCATCATATGCATCATACAAGTATTCGCTGTCAAGTAAATATCTTCATATTAATTGGCTATATTGTATCAAACAACGATTTAATTGCAAAATAAATTATTTTAATTACAAATAAGAAATATTGCATCTGTTAACTGACATGAAAGAATCAATGCACAGATAGCTACAGCCAAAGTAGAACTATTAATAACTTGTACTGTATATTTTAATAGTAACATACCTGGCTTATAAAAATGTACAAGGATACTATATTAATTTAAGCACCGACAAATACTACTGCAATGATCTTTTCCTTAACATAACAAGTGTAGTAATACTGTATTGAATTTTTCAGCATAAAGCACAGAATTAAGGTTCATGCTTTATCCGGCATCATTCCACATCGGAAAATATTCTTTCATGCCATTTTCCTCCGCGACACAGTGGCCTCTAGTGAAGTCTCCTTCTAAAGAGCAATCTTACCATGAATTTCAAGTACAAAGCCTTTCATGTGTAAGACCTACTTAAAAAAAAAAGATAAAAGAAATATTTAAAGGAGGAGGAGAAAGACAGTATTGGGAGGATGAGAGCTAAAAAGCTGTCTTGAAGGGAGACTATCCCAATTTAAACATTTGAATTAAACATGCAATACTATGTATGATGAGGTCATATCGACTATGAGAAATGCCTACTTTAAATAGTTACACAAAAAACTCAATAAACCAAGTTATCCTTTTTAATTTACTCAGTTTTGTTATTTTATTCCTACTAGGTTCATATCTCCACATGCTAAAACTATACAGTAACTAACATTTATTTACACATCAAATGCATACACTAATGAAACAAATTACTTCATTACACACACAACAATAATCTTCATTCTTTCCATACATTCTTGTTTGTCAACCTAGTACAGAGGCACAGGCTAGTCTTGAGTGACAACCAACCCAATACAAGTGACGAGTGCTTCTCTGGGGTACAGTAATAGTTAAGACAGTACTAACAGCAACTACTACTCTCGAATAATAGCCAATGAAGTACCATGGTACCTCTAAACTCCAAATTACCTGTATTATCATTCCAGATCCAACCGGAATTTGTTTGAAATCTGGATTTAAAAAAACTTTCCCTTTCTAGGTTATCACAAATTTTCACATTTTTCTTGCAGGGAGTGATAAAATAGATGTTGATGTATATTTAGACAACATATAAACAACGCTTGAGTGTGCCTATAAATAATAAATGAACCAAAAAGTACAAAGCATTATTTTGTTTGATTACCTTTTTCCCCGACACTGATAGTATTGATAACAGAGGCAGCAAAATGCCCTTATAACACACTGTCAGACTTACATGTGTGCCATCACCCTAAACTGGTCTAAGTCCTCTCAATACCCATGGTTAATATCATTCAGTTTTAGACTAGCTATTCACCCCTGGATTGAACATGGAGCGAGTTCTGGGAATTGCTCTACTTCCCTAGCCCCTGCCCGGGCCAGGCTTGATTTGTGATAACTCCGTCCAATGAACTGTTGCTAGGAGTGGTCTGCAATCCCACATAGCCATTACAACCCACTACATTGTGTACATGGTTGTACACAATCCATGTACACAGGGATTGCCTTAAAATCCATGTGTACAGCATCTATGGAGATTCATCATTGAGGAAGCGCAGCACTGCTATTTATACATGGAATAATGCAACCAAACATTTGAGCAGAGTAATGATAATTTGTCCTTTAGCACTGCAATACAGTACTGAACAAAACACACACATTACAAAGAAAAATATCTTGCAAAAATGATAAGGCAAAAATCACACAAAGTACATTAAAAAAAAAATCAGATAGGCAGAGCCATTATGTCTACAACACAACGGAGATGATGAGCATGACCCCCCAATGTGTAATAATTAGAGCTTAAGTGCAATCCTCGAACCAAATTACAAGGCAAATTCAAAGTTGTGAAACACAAAAGTAGTTGGTCTGCAGTGAAGTAAGACTAAACAGCTCCAGACAAGATAACAGTTTGGGCCACTGGTCTTTGGAGAAAATCTGTGTCAGGGAAAACATCCCTGGAACAAAGCTGTAGCAGATAGCTATAGCCAGCAATCCACAAAATAAGTTACCGTATTCATGCCATGTAAGAAACCTGAACATATGAATAACTACCCTATATAAAGAAAAGTGTGTTTCATAGCAAAATGAACCCAAACTAAACATTCTGGCCACTACAGAGTGACCAAACAAGTACCGTGTCGGGACTACCCACGACACTACAAACACATCCCCAGTGTCCTAACCTCTGCCCCCCCCCCCCCCAGGACAGTTTTGGCGAGTTGCTGGGCAGATTGTGAGGATACCCCCTCAGACCTTGTTTATAAGTCAGCACTACATGAGGTTTTAACGTGAGAATAATAGTTTCCTGATTGGGTGGTTAAGGGTATTATGCCCTTACATGTGTTCACCTTTACATCTTTAATACATCTTTAATGGTTTTGGCATAATTAATCCTTTAAATACAGTTATTATACACTGACCCCGAGGCAACATGGTTATCATCATCATACTGCATGTTTAATTTTTACAAATTATGTAAGTATGTTACATCTATAACATATTTACTGCATGTTACATCTATAACATTATAACAACATAATGGAGTTAACCTAGACCCAAGAAAACATTCTATCATTTTTTATTTCTAAATTGGATAGTTACCGTACTGCCAAAAAGGTAAAATCATCATCCAATCACAATTTGGTGTTTGCTGTCAGTTTTTAACTAACTTCTGGATAACATTACAAGACAAAATAGCAGTAATGGAGTGGGTTGCAAGACACTTTGTTTTTGTCAACTGTGAAAGTAATCCAACTTATTCAACAGATTGTGTAAACTAAAGTGAAACGACACGCTATAAACCATCGGACTTAAACACCGCAGCCAGCTTCTCTGCTTGTAAGTACCCGTAAATAGAGCAATACCACTCATCGCCATGATTATGCATGTACATGTGCAACTGGTGTCAGAGCAGCCATCATGTTATTAGTTTCTTTATTTTATCATGTTTCCCCTGGGTTTCCCATTGTTGAAGACGGAAATCTTATTAAAGGTCCCCATGGCTGACAACTTATCTTTCCAAGCATGCAACCTGCAATAGCTTATCAACTCTCGGGTACCTGCTTATTGATAGGTGAACACAAGTATCAAGTGTAAGGAATCACACACCCAAATGTCTTATCCAACATGGTAATCAAATCCGGGACCTTTCAGTTGCAAGACCACTGGTAACTTTTCTGTCTCAACTTTGTAAATAATTTTAACTTTAACCTGGCTGGATACTTTTCTTTCACATTGTTCTCACTTTGAACATGATGTGCAAAGATCTAATCTATAGCCTTAAAATATTACAGTTATCTAGTTTCTTATTCAGCATTTTCACTTTAAGGTCTACTTTCTGTTCAAAATTTATCAAAACATGTTTCCTCTTGGGACTGCTGCTTGTAGTGTAGATGCATATGCTAAAACAACCTAAATATTAAAATTAAATGGCGGTACAAGTCCACTATGGGCTCACCTTAGCCTGTACTACATGTTTTGTTCCGAGCAGCTGAATCTAAAAAAAACAAATGGTGGTACGATATTCAATATTTCCAAGAAAAATTAAAGTGTGTGAGGGTAGAATCACCCTGAAAGTAAAGGTCAGAGAACAGGCGCAGGTGAGGCAAGTACTAGGAAGGAACTTGTGTGGTATTGCGGGTAGTCAGAGAGGTAAGTTTGGTCTCGTCACAGTCAATATGAAGGGATGAATTGAACTGAAAATAAATTTTGGAGCTGCCCAATGAGATAGTGACTATGTAGATGAATAGGATCATGATGAAGGTTAAGGTAAAAATGTTATAGGGAGTATAAACCTTATATGACAGTCCTGTATGCAAGTAACTGAAGTATAGTGAATAAAATTTGTAGGCATACATTTATTTATTTTATATATTTAGCAAAGTGAAAACCTTATGTATACCACCTAAAATAGGTAGAGGTGTGAGAGACAAAGGTGAATACAACTGAAAGTTGAATTAAATTGGCGGAAAGGGAAAGAAATTGTGTGTGAAATGTGTGTGAATGATGGAGTCCTGGAAGATGAATTTAAATACCTGAGATATGTAATTGATAAAGAAAAAAACGAAAGCTAGGAGTAATGCACATCAAGGAAGAAGCTGGTGCAATGATGACCTTGGAATATGGTTAAATGTGACCAAAGGGCTGCATGAAGTAGTGGCTGCGAAAACACTCATACAATTGTATAGCAATCCTTTGGAATAAACAAAAAATATCACGAGTATGGTTAGAAGAAATAAATATTCTGAAAAGAATATGCAGAACTGGAAAATTAACACTTTCGCGCTTTAGATTAGAGATAACTCGTCGCCGTTTTTTCTTACGATTCCGCATAACAGCCTACTTTTCTCGTCCATCGAAAAAATATTTCTATAAATTCCATTTTTTAACCGAAATGGATGGGGATACTTTTGTTTTGTAGAGAATTTATTTGCAAATTTTTTGGTACCAGAATGAATATTATATCACAAACTTCTATGAGTAAAAAAAAAATACACAAAGTATGTTTGGGGGTGTGGCGAGCGTGTGGCAGTGGGTTCCCTTTAGCCGTTGATATATCCAACACGTGGGAAATATTTGTATGTGTTATGTATATGTCTGTGTAGGGAATTTTACTGCGATCACTGTCATACAAATTATAAAATGTTTCAACAAGTATAAACATGACAAACATCAAACGAACGAAAACAATGCGTTCGTTTCTGCCGCGAACGCATACTGAGCGACGTGGTTCTATATTTGGCGCTTCTCTTACACATGCTTTGTACAAATGTTATACAGTTCATCTTATAGAAAATTTTATTGCGAACACATTGGTACAGTGGTACCTCGGAATGCGATTGTCCCTGTATGCGAGGTTTTCGGAAGGCGAGGTGTATTTACTCCAAAAATTTGTCTCGGAAGGCGATGGTTACTTCGGGAGGAGAGT